CGATCTTTCATCTCTTGCTCTACCAAAATCTCTATTTTACAAAATCAAAGTATGTTTTTGTACATATTGCCGTCATCGGTAATAATTGCAACTTTTATTTCCATTTTAATTGTCAATATTAAAAAGTTCAAGGCTTTTGAAAGACGAGTTTTTAGATGCCACATTGTAGAAATAGGTTTGTGAATCTATGTTGTTTCATGAATATGCACCTTCGTTTTTCGTTGTTTTCATCATGTCATTCTGTCGTCACAAAGTCATTGTCGTCACGTCTTTCTATGCAAGCATGTAAAAAGTGTGCACCTTATAGAAAAGCAACTTCTTGTTAAATTATTTTCTATTAATCCTGTTATCTATGCTGTTTCCTTTTTCCTCCCCTATATCATACCCCTTGGTAGAGCTGGTGTGGTCGCTACTTCATTCATTCTTCATATTCTTTTCTATCTCATCAATTTGCCACGGGAAAAAAACAAATACTGTCCCACTCTTTGGGAAATGAACCTAACCTTTTCATATTTTTGACACTCAAAAATCCTTCTGGTGAAGCCTACAGATTCCACTTAATAAGGCAACAACGTTTATAATGCTTGTAAAAACAAAAGCTGAAATTATCTATCAAGTAACCTCTAACTTCTTCATTTTAGCCTTAAAAATAGTGTTATGCATTTTTAATCGATCATTTTGGGACAGTCCAGCCTTACATGAGTCTCCTTACAGTGGGTGATTATTGTATGATGCGCTCATGTGAATGAAAGAAATAGAAATAGAATTTTTTTTACATAGCGGTTTATCTATAATGAAAGGACTTTTCAATAAATCTACTACCTAGCCCACTTATGACCAACAAATTCTCGTTTTGAATGGAAATTCCAAAGATGAAGAGATCTTCGCAATTCTCTACTTTCCAGGTGGAGATACCGTAGGCAGTGTTCAGAGGACAAATCAGCAGTCACGTAGGAAACAATTTCGATCAGCGCCTGTAGGATTTTCCGTTTACAGGCGAGTTCCAGACATATTGCAGAAAACATCATCTCTTCCACAAGTGTGATTTTTACGCGCCCGATATAATCTACAGTTGGGTCCAAAGCCTTTTGTTCGAATAAAATCTTCCTATACATTTATAGAATATTTCATTCGAACATAAAATATTTTGAATAAAACGAGTATTCGATAGGAACACTTGAAAAAAGGCATTTATCCGATTTTTCGGATAATCGAATATTCGAAAGCATTTATTCGATTATTCGAATAGTTGAACATATCGGAACATCGACATTCAAAATCAAGTATTCTATATTTGAACTGAGATTCGAATGAATTTAGACTTCCGAACGTCTGCGAAATCAATGAATGTGGTTGACGAATATTTGAGTTCGAATGAGATTTTCGGATAATTTGATTA